ACTATGCTGTACACATGAAACTAATACAATATTGAATATCAACTGTAACTTAAAAATAAAAAAAAGTTAAAAAAGAACTTAAGTTTACCTTCCTCCAGTGGTTATCTTTCTTTAGATATTTTCACAATTTGACACTTTGATACATTTTTATTTGTTCAGCTATTCCACTGGAAATGTCTGTGACCATTGCAGTTTGGGTAATAAATACTTATTTATTTTCCTAGTAGGGATGGAATGAGTCACATCTTGACTGCTGAAACTGACCCACTGTGGTCTATCCTTCAGAATGAGCAGGTGCATTTAACATAGACGTGCAGACTTATTTTTTGTGAGCTTGAATCAGGTTGCCTGAGACATCTCTGTGTCTGGAGAGGGAACTTGCTGCCTCGAAGCTGCTCTCCCGTGTTGAGTTAGAGGACCACGGGCGGATCACGGATGCTGACCGGCTCCAGAAAGGGCTGTCACTGCGGGTGCTACTCCATCCTCTGAGCTCTCGTGCCTGTAGCATCCATTCAGCATCCCCAAACTCACTAGAAAACACATCTTAGCAAAAGAAGACTCCGGGATCTTTTCAGTATCTGTATTTTTTTTTTTGGCAAATGATATCTGACATTTCTCTCCATTGTCAAAGTCTGGGAATGATCTCCAAATGAAAAACTGCTTCTTTCCTGAGAAACCCCTTCAGGCGATGAACATCTATGAAGAATTAAGCAACTACTTATTCATTACCCAAACAGTTAAATGTCAATGAAGAGCCAGTTGTTTTGGAATCAGGCTGTTGCACATGCTTTTCTGCTCACGAGCACAGGAGATAGTGCAGCTGATGAAAGATTTTAAAAATATTTATACACATAACACGTATATAGTCACATTTATATGCACATATGCTGTTAAAATGCTAAGTTCACAAATGAGAGCCTGATTTTAACATTTTTTTAAAAGCTGAAAAAAGAATGTGTGTCAGAGACCATAGGGCACACAAGGCCGAAAATATCTACCATCGGGCCCTTTGTGGAAAATGTCTGCTGACCCCTGAACAGTGCGGAAAGTCCCTGTAATAGATCTCACTCAGTTTTTACTTTCACCAAGAACAGTGCGTTGTCTTCTTTCCTTGGAGGTATTAATCCTCTACTTGTAAAATCAGTCTTCCCAGCCACTCTAAAAAGAAACCAACCAACCAACCAGCAAACAAACCCCTGCAAAGAGCTGCAAAGAGCTGAACCTGCAACAGCAGGTTCCTCTGCTCTCAGCCAGGTCTGCTGTAGCTGCTCTGGAATCAGAGCTGCAGCCCTTGGCCTCTGCCGGTGCTGTGGCTCTCACTCTCCCAGACCACTCCCCCGCATCATGGCCAGCCACCAGTTTGCTGCACCCCTTCTTTGATCTGAGCTTTCAGGCCAAATGATGATTCCATTCCAGTTGCCCTTGTGAACCTCCTTTGCTACCTCGCCCTAATTTTCACTTGCTTTCTCCTTTTAGGGCCTCTTCTGCGTTCCTTCCTCTGCCTCCTCTCCCAGAATCTCAGCTCTGTTGAAGCAGATCCTTCTAAATCTAATATTCCCACCCTTACCCTTCACTTGCTCCTGTCTAGGCCCAGTTTTCTTGTTGGTTTCAAGTGAGTCCACTTCTGTCCCCTGCAACAGATTACAGCAAAGAAGGATTTCCGGTGGCCTCCCTCACCAGACCAATTGAAGTATTCTTGTAAGCAGTATAGACACTTGGGTCACTGCTTGCACACACCCTTTGTTTTATTTAGTTTTATTTTAAAGTTTTCAAATTACAGTTTACATTCATTCTTATTTTGTATTAGTTTCAGGTGTACAACACGGTGGTTAGACAATCATATACTTTACAAAGTGCTCCCCGATACTTCCAGTTCCTGTCTGACACCATTCGTGGTTGTTACAATATTATTGACTGTATTTCCATGCTGTACTCGACACCCCCGTGACTATTTTGTGACTGTCAATCTGTATCTCTCGATCCCTTCACCTTTTTCACCCAGTCCTCAACCCCCCTCCCCGCTGGCAACCATCGGTCTGTTCTCTGTGTCTATGATTCTGGTTCAGTTTTGTTTTTTCATTTCTACTGTTCTTTAGAGTCCACGTATAAGTGAAACTATATGGTATTTGTGTTTCTGTGACTGACTTATTCCACTTAGCATAATACCCTCTAGGTACATCCATGCTGTTGCAAATAGTAAGATTTCATTCTTTTTTATGACCCAGTCATTTCACTTGTGTATATGAACCACAGCTTTTTTATCCACTATTGATGGACACTTGGGGTTGCTTCCATTAGCTTGGTATTGTAAACAATGCTGCAATAAACACAGGTGTGCATACATTCTTCCAAATTAGTGTTTTGGGTTTCTTCAGATATATACCCAGAAGTGGAATTGTTGGGTCATGAAACACACATCCTTTATTGTGTTTACTTAGTGTCCAGTCACTTGGTGTAGTGTCCTTTCCATGAACCTTCTGGCCTCTGGCCTTCATCTGTTGCTACAGAAGTTTTCCACGTCCACCACTCTGGCCAGGCCACACCAGAGGTCCCCAATGCCCTTTGGGTCCGGCACACGTATTTAACCAGAGCTAGATAGCACTCTGACTTCTGGTACCTTTCCTTTTTTCATTCCAATCCAGCTTGCCGAGTCGCTCCTCTTGCCTGCGAGTGTTCCCCCTACTCAGCACACACTCAACCCAATGGTGAGTCCATTCCAAACGACTTAATGAGAATATCACTAAATCTAACAAATATACCACTTAATGGATATTTAATTCTGCTTTTAACCTTCCAGTAAATATATGGTGTGAGGACCAGACTTCTGGTAAATTTTTCCGAGTGATTACTCCTTTTCTGACTCATATCTCATTTACTGACACATTATCTTGCTTTCAACCATTAAAATCCTGTAAATAAATGCAGTCTTTTTACTATAATGCAGAAGACAACATCCTTCTTTGTAAACGCTCCTGCATAGGAACTGTAGCTTATAACTGGTGAGGGGGTCAGCTGGTCCAGGCTGACCCATAGCTTTAATTTTTGGAACTGGCTTTGAGAGGTTGTCTCTCAACTGCAATAGATGCCCTTCAAACAACTTTGTGTCTGGGCATCTTCTGCCTTTCATTTCCCTCTCCCTTCTCACTCCCCAAACACCTTTCCCCCAAGCCCCTTTTCAAAATGATATCACTGTGTCACGTATCCATTAGGAAAACCCAAGCGGGACACACTTGCCCTGAGGCAGGCACCCGGTGAACACCGACCTACGAGAAGGAGCTCCAGGGAGGTGGAGGGCTCACCAGCCTGGCCCACCGCGACTCTGCCACGGGCACCACTAGTTTACTCATTCAGGACATTCTTAGCGACGCCCTTCTCTGTGCCGCAAACACCGTGCTCGGTCCTAGGGAAACAACAGTGCGCCAAAAGGAAATCGTTGCTGCCTTCACTGGGGGGAGGGAGCATCAATTACAAGTTTACATGAACAAGTGTGTAATAAAGGAACATCCTAGCTCTGGTACAGAAGAGAAGAGCTGATATTAGTTTCTAACTCCCTGGCAGCTCCGTGATCCCTGATCCCTGTCTGGCCGTGTTTCTCTCCCGGTCTCCTCCCTCCGGCTCCCCCCTCTTTGTTAAGGGGGGGGGGGTGGTGGTGATGGAGAACACGGCTAACGACGCCACGCCGGAGTCCTGTCGTTGCTATAGTGCTCTGTATCCACATTCTTTTTCTTCATTGTGAGATTCTTGATCCCTCAAAGTAGACGTTATTATCTCCATTTTAAATACCAATAACGGAGTACGACAACACTGTTGTTACTCACGCTGTCATCGGAAGGCGGAATAAACGAATGCTGGCACTGTGGGAGTTGGGGGTCCCAGTCCCTAATTTGAAGCCATCAGATTTAATGGTCGCTAACCTACCTAAATCAGGGACTCTGGATTTCTTTCTTTTTTTTTTTTAAAGCATCGAGAGAAAAATCTCTTTTCAGAAGTCAAGACTGGATCTCAGAATTGGAAATGCGTCCTCCCCCATGCACGCCCACGTGGTTAAAAAACGATGCATTTCCTAAGAGAGGTGCTACACACTCGGTTTCTAATCTCCGTCTTGTCTTTCTTCCCCGCCAGAATTTCTAAATCTTTCCCGAGTACGCCCAGCCACACTTTTTGAACTTCTGAGTAAACGTCTTCGGCTTCTGTTTTCCGTAAAGCCCCCAGGCACAGGCCCAGGAACAGAGAGGCCCGCGCCGAGCGCCCCCGCGCCGGGGATCCCCGCGAGCGGGTCTGGTTGGCTGCGAGGCGGCTCAGCGTCTGCGCCCGCCAGCCTGCGGCGCGAGAACGTGCTTCCCAGCCCTGGTTCCACCCGCTGCCCACGAGCTAAATGAGGAGCCGCGCTATTTTTACCTCCCCCGCAGCTATACTTTACATATTTATTTGCAGGAAGGAAATAAAGTATTAAGAAGAAAACGCCTGGCCTCAATTTTTTCCCCCGAACGAGGAGAGGGTTGGGATAGAAAAGGCCATGTGAGGTATGGGGTAGTGGAGAGGGCAGGTCGATTTCTCTGTGCGCACATCATCCTTGGCCTGGAAGCCCCAGCACGCCTTCCCTTCAGGCTAATCCCTCTGACAGCTTCCCCTTCCCCCAGCTCTGGAGGTGCCACCATCACCTCTAAAGCTGCCTGGGTTGCTGCATCACTCTGAGGCTTTTTTTCCCTCTCCCCGCCCCACCACCAACCCCAATAAAGCATGCGCAGTGCGTCCCATGCCAGGGAGCAGCATCAGCATCCCCATCAGCATCAGCATCAGCTTCAGGACCCGAAGCCGCGCTCAGGCGCGCTCTCGAGGGCAGGGAGCATACCCGCGCCGCGCGCCCCTGCGCCGCTCGCTCCCGCGCGCCGGCTCAGCATCCTTAGTCCCAGCAGCAGCCCCCGCAGTCGTTGGAGCGGCCGCGCCCGCCGCAGGGAGGGAGGAGCATCTGGGGAGGTTCCAAGTTGGCGGAGCGACTGGGACCCCCGGACTCTCAACATCCGCCCCCGGAGGGCCTGAGACGCAAGCAGGGGAGGGGGCACCGCCCAGTCCCTAGTTCCGAGTCCTGACCCCCTGCCCGCGGCAGCACCATGCGCGCCGAGCCGGCGTGACCGGCTCCGCCCGCAGCCTCCCCGCAGCCTAGTCCAGCGCTCTCCCCGGCCACACCGAGCGGCGCTCGGGAGCTATGAGCCATGAAGCCGCCAGGCAGCAGCTCCCGGCGGCCGCCCGTGGCGGGTTGCAGCCATCCGCGAGCCTTCAGCGACCCCCGCGGCGGCCCCGCCGGCCCGGCGCCTGCCCGCACCCTGGCCCGCGCGCCTCCCTGCCGCCTGCTCCTCGTCCTTCTCCTGCTGCCTCCTCTCTCCGCCTCGTCCTGGCCCCGCGCCCGGGGGGCTGCTGCACCCAGCGGTGGGTATGGCCCCGGTGCTCTTTGCATTGCCTTGCCTGCTGGGCCCTGCAAAGGAAAACGAAGGGCACGCGGGTCCGTGCGCTCCGGACACGTCCCGAGCTCGGCCTTTCCGCGCCTCCCTGCCTGCCTCTCCACCTTGCTCATTCCCAAACCCCCATTTATTCCAGTTCACTTTTTTGAAGTCCATTTCTGTTGCATTCACTAAGAAACCATTCTAATTACTGTCGGTTCCACTGGAAGGTATTTAGTGGATGCGGGGTCCCTCTGTGCAACTTGGCTGAGGGGAACCCGGTGGACGGGAAATGCAGCGAGGGAGCAAGTTGCTTCTTGGGTGGTGGAGCCTGAATGTGAATGCGGAAGGATGTAATGATAATAGTGGTAATGTGTTGTTTCCTCAAATTACCTTCAGGGTTTATTCCCTGCTGTTGGAATTAAAGTGGGGAAGAGAAACTTCCGGGATATAAACCTTTGGTTTGTAATTTCTCAAAATGCCTGTCATTATAATGAACAATTCATATAATATAATGTTCAATACCATTGGAAATCGACGAACACAGAGAGCTGGCTTGGGCAGGAACACAGAAAGGGATTGGAAAGCTGCCAGCATCTGCATCCCTCTATGGCAAAGGAGTTTTGCTCATCTCAAAGTTAGACGAAAAGGGAATTGTCCATTTTGTTAAAAGGATTAGTTAATCTGAACTCAGCACTGAAGTTATGGTAGGAGCATTCTGAGCTCTCCAATGGGGTACTAGCCTCTTTGGACTCAGATGAGGGTCACGACCCCTGAGCATGTTCATTTAATGACTCTTCCTTCAAGTCCATTCTGCCCCAACCCATACTTAGAAGTATAGATTTGAGACTGGTTGGAAATGTACATACAAAACATAAGTCAAAATTCACAGTACATTATTGTATAAGCCTTATTGGGTGTTAACTTATCCAGGCCATTTCATTGTTGCAGTAACTTGCTTCCCTGTGTGTGCACTTCTTACCTGCTTACAAATAAGAAACTTGTTTTTGCCATTCATGGAAAAGATGCATTTTGGTACTTACGTATTTATGGGGTGTATATATATGTGTGTGTTTGTATATGTTTCTGCCCCCTGCCCTTTTCTCCCCAACCAGCTCCGCATTGGAATGAAACTGCAGAAAAAAAATTGGGAGTCCTGGCAGAAGAAGACAACACATTGCAACAGAATAGCAGCAGTAATACCAGTTACAGCAATGCGATGCAGAAAGAAATCACACTGCCTTCAAGACTCGTATATTACATCAACCAAGACTCTGAAAGCTCTTACCATGTTCTTGACACAAAGGCAAGGCACCAGCAAAAACATAACAAGGTAGGCAGGGGGCGGGATATGCAAAAGTAGCTGCCACACAGAGTTACTTTTGATTTGATTTTCTGCCAGAATCTGATTTCACAAATTTGACTGCAACGTTTTATTAGGAAATCAATATCATGATCCGGGAGAAACTGGAGGGAATCAACCTGGGAATAGGATTGCTCTTTCTCTTCTCTGACTTTAAACTGAAGTTGGAATTTTCTTTACTGGCTTTATAAGTTTGACAGCTGCAATCTGGTCCCTGTATCTTCCAGGCCATTGGACACTGAACAATAGTTAAGTGACTATGTCTACCGTCCTGGCTGATACCTATGAGGCTTTATGTAAGGGTGCAGTATTCCCCCTGCCATGATGAAAACTGCTTTCAGTCTGGACACAGAGAATTGTTAGTGAGGCGGTTCGGCTGCAGATTCCCCCATCACTTTTCACTTAGAAATTGAATGTTTCAATTTAAACAACTTTCTTTCTTTAATTGATCAATGGAAAAAAAATACTTTCTGTTACATTTTCAGTAGGTAAACAATTTGACATTTTAAAAGATTACGGTGAATATTTGCAAGTTGCAAACCATTTATATAATATGGAGACCAATTTTGGTCAGCATAAGGCTTCAGACTGTCTGCATTCATTGTAAGTGGCTACTTTACTTTTAGGCTGGTTCAGAAAGAGGCGCTGATTTTGAAAAGGCATTCAGTGGCGGGTGAAGGTGCTTAATATCCAAAAAGTTTATGGGGTCTTTTTTTTCTTGCTTACTATTCTTTTTTTTTAAGATTTTATTTATTTATCTTTTAGAAAGGGAAGGGAGGGAGAAAGAGAGAGAGAGAAAGAGAAACATCAATGTGCAGTTGCTGGGGGTCATGGCCTGCAACCCAGGCATGTACCCTGACTGGGAATCGAACCTGCGACATTTTGGTTCGCAGCCCACGCTCAATCCACTGAGCTACGCCAGCCAGGGCTTGCTTACTATTCTTTAGTGGAGTTAATAATACTTTGGACCCAAGCAGATTAACACAGATTAACACTAAAATATGTCAAATATTTTACTTGGGACTATCTTTGTTTAATTGAGAAGAACAGTAACTGTCTAAACATCTGGAACTTTAGAAAAGTACCTGTGGTTTACGTTACTGTTTTCTTAGTTTTCTAAAATAAAGGTAAGTGGTAACTATATATTTCCATTTTACAAATATGGAGTTAGAAAGTTAAGGCTTTTAGGGAACTTTAAAACAACTAATTGTGAAACAGCTATTATAACATTCAAAAGACCTGAATATTAATTTTTACTATTTTTTATACGAGGCAGGCTTCTGAGAACATGCTTCCTTTGTACTGATTATTATTATTGGGGAAGTTGGTTCGGTTTCATAGTGTTATGAAGTGGTGGCTCCCCACCTTGGCTGAGATGAGTGGGTCTCCGTTTTTGCAGCCCTTTTCCCATCTGCTCCTGTGTAACATAACAGGTTGACTCCTGGATCACGTCTACTCCTTTGTCTTGGTAGGAGGAGTCAGTGGTGTTTTTAAGGAAGAAGAGTCCAAGCCCCTCTCATGGATGCTTTGAGGCCCATTTTATGACTTTCTTAACTAATGAGACTGTCTGTGGTTAAGTGGCAAGTTCTCAAACTCCAGTGCCTTTGCATAAGGTACTGGAGGAAGAAATAAAAACTGCCTCAAAGTCTGTATTAAAGAATGTTCAAGCCCTCCTGAGCTGAGAGTGGAAAGGAATTTCAGTGGAACTCCTTTGTAGCTCGGGTATTGGAGGCTAGGACTAACACCGGTAGTATGGTTTAACCACGTATGGTTGCTTTGTTGCTGGGACACGGTGTGACTACAACATCGCTGAGTTGCTATGATAACAGGTTTGTTAAAACCTCATTCCCCTCTCACGCAGAGGAACAGAGTACTCTCTATGGAACTCATACCTGCTGTTGGAATGATTCTGCCTCTCCACTTCTCACTCCCTAGGGGGGTGGGGCTTCTTTTATCTTAAAAAAATATTTACGAAGTAATTATATTTGAAGGCACTTTTCTTCTTTTCTTATTAAATCCAACACACATTTGTTGCACATTTCTATGTGCAAAGTAGTGTGCTCCAGATTCAGACAAGAGATAAAGGGTACCGGGAGGAACAAGGCATGTCTGTTTTCCAGGAGACACAAACATGGCATAACCAAGATTCTAAAAAGTGCTACCATGCAGGTATAAACGGTGTTCTTCCTAAATGGTGTGTCCCCGGAAATTTCCCTTCGTGTTCTGGGATTTCACTTTTACTTCTGTTGTTAAGCACCTCTTGAACTAGTTGACAAAAAGAGTTCCCAGTGGTTTCTGCTTGTATCTTCGGATGACTTGCCTAATAATGGTGATGAGAGATACTTGTGAGTTGAGCTGCTTTATAAATACTTCAGTAAGAGAGGCAGTGTAGAATGCCCTGATTTTTGCCTTATGACTTCTGATTCTGATGTCTGTAGTAGGTATCTTCTTTTCTCCCTGATTTCACTGCTCCCAAGCACATTTTCATGAATGCCTGAGAAATGCTGAATCACTGTGCTGCTCTCCTGGATTCTCCAAGTTGTGGGTAGATGTGGAGAGGGAAAGTCCCAGATATGGATTGCAAGGCAGATTTTTGTATTTATTTCATAAGGTATTCAGTGTTGATCAGGACTTACTACTTTACAGACATGAAAGTTAAAATGTTTTTAACTCTTTCAAATTTGGTGCATTCAAGAGCAAGTGGTACAAAGCACCTCTATAATAGCAGTGTTGAAAACCTTAAAGTTTTTCTTGTGGAATTGTTAATTGTTAATGTTAGAGTTAGACCTCGGTTCTTGAATTGGCTAAGAAAGCACTCAGTACCAAGAAATCTAATGCAAGAGAAAGTTGACTTAGAAAGTCACAGAGGTTGAGGAAGTGAGCCAGCTGGGCCGTGTGGGCTCAGAAAACAAGTTACAGAGGCAAAAGTAGGGCCCTTGGAGCTTAGGAGAAAGAAAGCAAAGGTACGCGCCTGAGAAAGAAAGCATGGGTGTGCTCGAGAGAGGGGGAGGAGGGAGGGAAAGAGAGAGAGAGATATCACGCACCGTCTGGGCCCATTGTCTTAAGGTTTTTTATCTGTTTTCCAAAGGTGGGGATTTTAGGGTAGGATTCATTAGAATATGCATCAGCTTTTCAGGTTTGTTTTTTAAGGGTTGTGGTCTCTACTGATTGGTCAGCGCACCCCCCCCACCCCCCCGCCATGGGGTGTTTAGTTATCACAGCTGGTCCTGGTGCCAGCCTTGGTTCATCTGGTTTTGCTGCTCTTCTGGGCCTGGAGCTGAAACACAGTTGAAACCTAGGTGTTATCTCTTTTGACCAAAAATCTGTCACTGTGGTCTCTAGGCCCGAGGTTTTGTTCTTAAGATTATCTGATTTTGATTAGTACCTCATTGTCCTGAGGGTTTAGGCTTAAGGGAGTGGTCATGCAGGGACTCGCATAGTAATTGTATGAGGTTATTCTCTGGTCCCTTAGTCCCTGGTTCCTCCTCTAAGGGGGTCTAAACGGCAGGACTGTTGATATGCTAGGGGAGGAGTGGTCACCTGCGGAGCCAAAGTTCTGGCCTGTAATAGTGGTTTGCTCTGGTTCTGCCCATTGATAGTCATCTAGGACTTCCTGACCCTGAGACAGTCTGTACCTGGCCTGTTGTTCCTGCTCTGCTCACGTCTGTCAGAATCTTTTTATCTCCATATAGGGTGATGGACAAGTATTGCCCAAACTCTGCCATCGTTTAAGAGTGAAAGAGGGCACACTTAATAGTTTTGTGCTGAGACAATACTCATAAACCAAGATGGTTCAGAGCAGATGAGGAATATGGTCACCTCAGTCTAAACAGTTATTAGCTTATTCGAATTTGGGTTTCTTCATAGTTTCTTTTCTTTAAAAAAAATTACTTTATTGTTGTTCAATTACTGTTGTCTGCAGTTTCTCCCCCTAACCCAACCCACCTCCCTCCCTTGCTTCCACCCTCGACCTTGGTTTTGTCCATGTGTCCTTTATAGTAGTTTCTGGAAACCCTTCTCTCCACTGTCCCCTACCCTCGCCCCTCTGGCTATTGTTAGATTGTTCTTCATTTCAGTGTCTCTGGTTATTTTTTGTTTGCTCTTTTCTTTTGTTGATTATGTTCCAGTTAAAGGTCAGATCATATGGTATTTGTCCCTCACTGCCTGGCTTATTTCATTTAGCATAATGCTCTCCAGTTCCATTCATACTGATAAAAAGGGTAGGATCTTCTTCTTTCTCTCTGCTGTGTAGAATTCCATTGTGTAAATGTACCATAGTGTTTTGATCCATTCATTTACTGATGGGCCCTTAGGTTGCTTCCAGCATTTGGCTATTGTACATTGTGCTGCTATGAACATTGGGGTGCATAGATTCTTTTGGATTGGTGTTTCAGGTTATTTTTTTCTGATGACTTATTATAAGTTTTTTACTAGCTAGAATATCAGTTTGCCATCATGTAGAAATATTAGAGTCTGAAACGGAAAAATTTAGTTTTGCTTTGCTACCAAGACATATCTTCTTCATTTGTAGATACTTTTACAAGCATAAATGGAATTTTATGATTACTAAACATAAGCATTTTATTAACCAGTAATGCATTATATGAATAAAGTGGACCATACATTTAAAAAGAGGGAGAAACTATTTAGATTCATTCATTCATTCAATCAATCTGAGATAATTTTTTGAGGTCTGTTCCTAAGAAAGTTAATGAATCTGTGGGTGAGAAAAAAATAACTTTTTCTCTCTCCTACTAGGTTCTTGGCTGAGACACACTCTGTGTTAAAAAACAGGTAAATAGGAGAAAAACCAACATAAATTTAATGACATGTAGACCTCCTGTGTACATAAGAGAGGCCCAAGAAAACTGAGTGACTCTTCAAAACGGTCCATGCCATCGCCTTCCATAACATCTTCTGCTAAAGACACAAGATGCTGGCGGTGGCGCGCCGGTTCTGGGAGGGTGCGG